ACTGTGGTTCAATCTCATCCAAGACGCGAAGAACGCGTCCGCGACCATTCTCGTTCTCAAGTCCGAGGCACTGCGGGAGCCAATCAGCATACGTAATCTGAAGCCCTCAAGCCTTCGTCGCAGTACGCATGCCCCAGTCCCCCACAGCAGGCCGCGAAGACCTATACCTCGCGCGAACTGCTACTCCTAATTCAAACAAGGTAAGAAACAAACAGGCAAATTATGTATTTACCGGTTTCCGGTGTGCGGGCTTCGATCGGGCCGCAGGATTTCACTGACCATGTGAGTGTGACGTTGGAAAAGATGGCTTCCTTCCTGGGTGTGAGCGCTTCCGGCTTTTCCCTCGACGTCGCTTTCGGACGCACCAACTCCCAATCGAGCACGGCGCTTCGAGGGGTGGACACTGTCCAAAGAGATCCAGTAAGGATCGGAGTGTACGAGATCTCTGGCAACAGGCCAATGCTGTGTGCCACAAGGCGCGTGATCTACTCCAAGACGCAAGACGTTTGCCGACTGTTGAGTTCCTCTTTTGCAGTTCACTACGATGCATGCCTCGGCGGTGGAGCTGGTGAATGCTCGGACACAGCCGCGCATTCTGCATTCACCGTCAATCTGGGCCGAGCCGTGACAACCATGGTACTGCCCGTTACTCGGCTTTAAGGTATCATAGGGTTCGATTTGATCTTAACAGGGTTTGATAGCGTCTCGGTCTGGGGGTTCGGTTTAAGAACCTTTTTCAAACTGGGGACATGTTTTCCGGCTATTAGAGGTACCAATTCCGCAAACTCGAACTTAGGTTCCTTAAGAAGAGAGAACACAGGTTAACAGCGTTCGCCTCAGCAGTGCCTGGAACCTCTGGGACATCCTGGTCATCCCCATCTTCATCGCGGGGCTGAGCTGCGGCTTGGCATTGGGCCGAATACGGCGCTGAAAACCGCTGGGCTGCAACAGCCTCCCGATGATTGGGCGAAAATGAAGCACAAGGTTTGGGGTTTGCAGAAGAGGCAATGCTGGCAGTCATCAAGTCCGGTTTCAAAAGGGTTTAGGGCTTAGGGTTTAGGGATCTACTCAGCCGTCTTGGCAAGCAGCTTCAGGTCTGAGGGGCTGGCGCATGCCACGCAGCCAGGTTTAGAGGTTCATGTTCAGGGTTTTGCTATGGGGCTTCTTCTCAGCTTCTGAAGGGCTTCATGGTGATTTGTGTCTGATTTCGCATTCTGTGCTTAGGGTTTTGGAGCTTCAGTGGAGCTTCAGGCTTGCAAATTTCAATGAGGGCTTAGCGGCTCGAGGGCTTGCTTATTGGAGGCTTTCGGGCGTGGCTTCTGTGCCGTTGACCCTTGCAGTCCCTCTAGAAAGCTTGCCGAGGTGAACGCTCTTTGGCCAGACTGCAGATTTCTTTTCTACCCAGGGTGAAGACCAACACGACAGTACGAACAGCAGTGTGATTAAAGACAACCGCCATGCCCATGTTACGTGTCTCATGATAACAATAGCAATAGAAGGGATGATGCTGTTAGTGGTTGATTTGACCTATTCCGGACAAGCAGCAAGGAAACTTATGCCTTGTCTTAGCTTGTCTTGTTGAATCGATCTGATTAATTGAATGATCAATTACCAACAGCATTCCCTTCTCGTCCCTGATTGCATGAAGTTTACCATACACCCCCAAACCCTATTATACTTCCCAGGGCACCTATATGGGTAGTTGTCAAAATTAGGGTCCTTTTTGGGGTACCCTAAATAATAGGTGCCGTATTATAATAAGGACCCAAAAAGGGACCATAATTTTGACAACCACCCATATAAAATCCTAAAGCACTCTATGAAGCCGTAAAAAATCCCCCGAATCCAACACAACCTGCAGGCTCCTCTAGTACTCCACTTGCATTTAGGGTTTAGGGTTTAGGGTTTAGGGTTTAGGGTTTAGGGTTTAGGGTTTAGGGTTTAGGGTTTAGGGAAAATTCCAAAACCACCGCTTTCAAATTAACGTCCAGGCCAGAAACTCCCGAACCCTACTACTCTGCCTCTAGGTTCGCTTGCCCCAAGAGACGTCTCGTCCGATCACACCTGGAAGAAAAGCCTTCTCTAATCTTTGCAGGCCTTGTTTTTATTCCATCGCATCAGACTGGAATCCCGGCTACCGAGGATGCTACGCGTCAGCCTCCGATTGCTCTTGGGGCCCAAACTGGTGTATAGGGTTTCAGGGTCAGAAGCCTGAACGATCAAAACTACGGGTTTTCTCGGGTTGTTTAGAAGGGTTTAGGGCTTTAGTTGCCGGACTTCGAGAGACATAGGCTCTCATATTGGGCTGTAGGGTTTAGGGTCTGGCAAGTATTTAGTATAACTGGCAGAACACTTCTATAAAGTCTCCCGAAATCTTCTGTACTATGCCGCACCACCTAGCGCACAAAAGGCCCCGAACCTCCCACAACCGCTCCAACGTGCAGGCTGGAGCTTGCGAAGAGGAAGATCGACGAACCGACCATTGAGTATGCATCTTGACGGAGTAAGTTTTAAGGTTCAGGGATGTGCGGGCTTCAGGATGTTATTCAGTTGTAAGGCTTTGTGAAGCCTCTTGAGATGTTTGATTTACGAGTTTAGCGACGTAGGGTTAGGCGCATGTACCGTTAGACCAGGTGAGGTAGAGTCTTACAAGTTGGATTGATGATTTCGGTGTCGGGCTTCGAAGCGCTTTACATGTCGGGTAGGGTTCTACATGTGGGTAGTTGTCAAAATTATGGTCCCTTTTGGGGTACCCCTAAATAATAGGTGCCGTATTATAATAAGGACCCAAAAAGGGACCCTGGTTTTGACAACCACCCATGTGAGATTTATCTACTGCCTTTAGGGTGTAACGTGTCCGGCGTCTAGGGTGCAGGGATCCCATGTAAGGTAGGGTTTTAAAAGAGGGGCTGTGAGCTTTAGGTTATAAGTTTAGGGCGCCATGCCATGTGGCACAGAGATTTGGTAGCTGAACTCATGTCATGACACTGCCAGAGTTTTGGAAGAAAGCTTGTGAACCCTGAACCCAATAGACTCTGAAGACATAAAAAAGCCCCTAAATCCCAACCTTGAAAACCCCAACCCTCGAGCTTTCAACTTAGAACCCGGAACCCTATCCCATAAAACCCCCAACCCCTGAACGCTAATTCCCGAAGGCCCTAAACCCTTCGATCTGCCCTACTTTGGCCAACGTGCCTTCGTTGTCGTACCAGTAACCTCGCCGGCTTGTCCCCGTTGTGAGTGCTGAAACCTCAAATTACGTCATGAGCTGCTGGGGCTTTAGGATTCGGGCTTTAGGGCCTTTAGGGTTTGGGGTTTGTAGGGTTCAGGGTTTAGGCTCTATAGAGTTTTGAACGAGGTCTCTCTGAAGTGCCTCTAGCAGTATGATTTCATCAACCTCTCTAGCTTTTCAGAGAGACCTCGATCAAAAGGCTTTATAGAGTTCAGGTGAGGAAAAGGGCTTAAGAAGAGCGTAGTGTCGAAACCCTGGAACCTCACTGCTGAGTTTCAGGGTTTAGGGTTTAGGGTTTATGGTTTAGGGTTTAGGAGGCCGCGACTCATCTGGCAAGTCCGCGTTGCCCAGAGCAGAAGCCCGATAATATCGCGGGCTGAATGAATAGTGATAATCGGACCCAATTACCGCCCCTACATATTTATACTACACGAACATCCTGCTCTTATTCTTCAGCCCTCAGGCCACCCCTTACATAGGCCATTACTCAGCGCGAAGGCTGCCTTCTGTCGTCACTTGCAGAGCCTGCGAGAAGACTGGTACAGGACTGCGGCATTGCATGAAATTTGCACAGCAGGTAGTGAGGTCATCAGATAAACCCTTGCCGTTCCTTCTTTGAACCCTGATAGCACCGAATTCCAAAACGAACTTCAAGAAATCCTATAGAACCCTAAACCCTAAACCCTAAACCCTAAACCCTAAATGGCTACAGGTTAAATGGCTACAAGCTGTCTGCGCACCCCCTTGAAACACCCTGTAGTTTCATGTCCAGGCCCACTGAGGAGCACCCCCCTAACGTACGTATTGGCCCCGGGACCTGGGGACCTCCTCATCTTAAGGGCGTAGACGAGAGGAAAGCAAGCATGAAACCCACACCTGAACAGTTTGTGCTTCCCACCGTTGGTGGTGCCCACTCTGCTAGTGATGGTATTGCTGGTGCTGCCCCTGCTGCCTTTTCTGCCTCACCTCACCCTGCTGCAGGTACAGGTTTCATTCCCCTCTCAGGTAAACCGCCTGACAGAGAGGGGCTTCCTTGTGCGGCCTCACACCATAGTGTTCTGGAGCAGGGGCGTGGAAGAGCTGATCCTAGCAAGACCGCTGCTACTGAGTCTAGTGGAGCTAGGGATAGAGAGCGAAGCAGAAGGACCGAACGAGTTTCCCGTCGGAATGAGCCAAGAGATGCTGACAGCAGGGATGTTGAGCTTAAAAAGCCTAAACTTGAACACGAAGCTCCTGGTAATGCTGATGAACTTATGGATGCGGATACTATCCCACTGGGACACGCTGCTGGAGTGACTGCTCCGCCGGTAGTCGTAACCAAACCACATGAGCCCACGGTTTTTGATCTCACCCAAGCTGATGCCGTGGTTCCTGATTCGGATGTTCTTCTGGGTTCGGATCATCGTGCCGTGCTCCTCTCCCAGCGGTTGAGCCCATCATGTGCCAGTCGACCCCAACACCGTGTCCGTCATAGATGTGGTAAATGGATTGTCTCCCCTGACCTTGCGGTTGCTTCCTGTGAGTCTCTCGC